GTAAACCCTTTTTAAAGGGTTCTCTTAAATTCAAGTCTTCCCCCCCCTCCCTCCCCACCCTTCCCAGGGACACTGCTCTCTCCCCTCTTAAAAAAATTTGAAAATCACAAACTGGCGATATTTTGTTTGTTGCTGTAACTGACATTGACATCCTGTACCATCTGGACTAAAATAAGGAGGCCAGTAGAATTGTAAAAGCTATTGAATGGGCTAGTTTAGTGGAATATTTACCACTCATCCTCCAAGTACCAGTACAACTACTAAGAATAATGGCACTGCTATCTGTGCTTACATCGCGAGTTAGACAGAGAGTAGTGAGCCAGAAGATTTGGTTCCGACCATGGATAGTGCTGTCGCCCACAGAATGGTCAGGTTAGGATGTTTATAATTTCACTTGCATACAGAAGAACGCCATAACCTTACCGTCGGTCTTCACATGAGAGCACTATGGTTAGTTAACAGCCGCAACCACAACTATTACTGCTGCTGCTATACCTAAGTGGGTGGGGTAAAGCAGTTACTGTGACTTAAAGCTCTCTTCAGTTAATAGTTTGCCCCCCCACCTCCCCACTAAATGTCAACCGCACAAACTCTTTTACCACATTGAAGTAGTTGGGCAGGGAAGAGGGAAAAACAGCAAACAAATGAAAAGCAAATGAACACGGGAAAAAGTAACAAAACCATAATTAAGGAAACGAAACGCCATTGTAAACAGACAGCTTAAAATTCCAACACAGATGAAATAACTAAAATCTAAATGGAAAATAAATGAAAAATCTATATAAAATTTCAGCGTAACCATGCAATCGGAGAAGTTTAACAATGACAATCATAAAGTTTATGCGAAATGGTCCAAATTTCATTATCAAATGGTTTTTTACCCATTTACTGGGTTTTTTTTTTTTTTTAAATATGAAGGCAACATGGCTAGTGCTGTCATCACCGACAGAGCAGATGAGGATATTATTTTAGTCCGAGGGTAAAACAACAAATGAACTACTGCTGATTCGTACCCAGGGTCTATCCCCCCCCCCGGCAAAAACTTTTGGGGAACCAGTGTTTCTACTAACCATTCGACCAAAGCAGCCACTTAAGCGGAAACAACGAAAAAGTAGAACACACAACTATTAGACATACGATGGTCCGCTCCACTGTGTCGCGATCAAGAACACAATTTCCCCCAAAAAAAAAAAAAAAACCGCAGGCAATTGTGTTTCTGTAGTGACAGATACTCTCAGATATATTAATGAAATAGAAATCGCACGTGTCTAACCACGGTTAATTGAAGTTAATGTCGCAGTCAAACGACGGTCTCCCTCTCCCCCGAACGTCAGAGATAGTCCCTCGATTAGCCCCCCCCCCCTCCATCGAAGGTTGTTTGAAAAAAAAAAACAGAAACTAGAAATCGTGTTTAATTATGGTTATTGTGGCAAATATAGAGATAGTCTTGTTCGCTTGTACCACGACCTACTCTAATGTAATTAGTATCAGAGAGGGCGTTGGCTGCACGTAACTCGCCAGGCGCGATTGTAAATACGGTGCGCATGCGCAATTTGACTACCGTGGCTTATAATTAGAAATCACTAAAGTTATAAATATTAGTTGCGTATAATTTTGGCCATTTAATTGTGGTCAACCTATCTCTAAACAGTGACATGGGTTGCATTTCAAACCACGGACGGTTCAAAATCCTGTTATCACACAACAAACATATCCTGGAAAATTCGAGCTACATTTCGTTTCAAGTAGTTTCCGAGTCTATAGGGTGGGTGAAACAAAAAAAACACACAAACATTGAGATATATATATAATATATATAATATCATACTATATTATATAGTATATAATATATATACATATATAGTTTATATGAGCTACCGGTCAAGACTGGACGCTTAGGTCACGGCCCACTGTTTATGGAGTCTGGCAATTTTTTTGCTTCTGCCAGACGTTCACCCAGCTTCTGAGTTAAATGCTTGGCGCGACACTGTGAGCTGCGGATTTCGTTTATAATGTTTTTTTCAACTGTGACCAACGTGGTGGTGTGAATTATAGATTCAGAAAATAGCGCGATGTCTGTTGTTGCAATGTTGGTGGTGCCCTTATGTGATTAAAATTGATCTTGTGTGCAACTGCTGATCTGTCGGTGACTTCTGCTACCATCAGTGATGAACTGCATTTTTAATGTCAGTCTGTTTGTGTTAGCACTTCGGATGCGTGTGTATGCTAGGTATGCTGAGACAGCAGTCTGTCAATCTTTCCACAAGGGACTGTGATAAAGATTCTGTGTGTTTTTCGTTGACGCAGTAGTGGAGCAGCTATGGGGTGACCCCTTTGCTATGAAGCTGAAACTAAGACTACCAACGCTTTTTACAATAGATGCGTGCAATCCCGTGGTCTCTATCTCTCTCTTGTTGTATACCACCAGAACATCACACAAGCGACAAACACCCGGTGACACAAAGTGCCACCATGCGGATGAGGATCATCCGTGTTAAGGTCCCAGAAACTAGTTTTAGCCGTTAGGCCATATTTATGGCCCGGCTATATTCAGGGCCCCTGACAAAAGCCAGGGTGGGGCTTCAAATAACAACAAAATTGCATCACACATGGGGACGACTTGCATGTCATTTAAAGATCTCATTATATATTCACTGATTAATGAAAATAAATGAGTTGACAGTGCACATCATATATATATATATATATATATATATATATATATATACAGTAGAACCTCGCTTAACGAGCACCGCGCATAACGAGTAATTCGCATAACAAGCAAAACAAATTGTAAAACAATGACTTGCTTAACGAGTGACGTTTCGCATAACGAGTGGCGAGGAGAGGGGAAGTCCCGAACTGTCCACATGTTACATCAGTCTGTGTTTAGCACTAGTTCCAGTAGCCTCGTAGTGTCGCTTGTGATCACACATTTTCTCAAACTTGTGTTATATTGTGATATATGTACATGAATAAAACAGGCCTACAAGATGACCTCTTTGAAGAATTTAAGTTCGTCAAGATCCAGTTTCTGCCTGCCAACACCACTCCGTTACTCCAGCCCATGGACCAGCAAGTTATTCTAACTTTAAGAAGCTCTACACTAAAGCACTCTTCGAGCATTGTTTTCAGGTGACTGAAGGGACAAATCTCACTCTCAAAGAGTTTTGGAAAAATCACTTCCACATCGTTGCCTGCCTCAAGATGATCGACAAGGCGGGGGAAAGGGGCTACCAAGAAAACCCTAACTTTTGCTTGGAAGAAGCTTTGGCCGGAGAGCTTTGTCGATTTGTGACTTTGAGGAGTTCGAGACAGTACCTGTGGAACCTGTAGTCAACAAGATTGTGTCTTTAGCCACTATCACGGGATTAAAGGGGGATAACAGTGATACCGAAGAGCTTGTGGAAGAGCACAGCCAAGAGCTGGCCACCCAAGAGCTTATCGAGTTGCATTGTGTTTCACAGCAAGAAGTTTTGGAGGAAAGTTTGTCGGAGGAGGAGGTAACAGAAAAACAACAATCTTCTGGTGAAATAAGATAAGTGCTGAAAGCATGGCAAACTGTTGCATCTTACATTGAGAAGCATCACCCTAATAAGGAAGTGGCTATGCGCGTTGTAAATTTATTTTAATGATAATGCTGTGTCGCATTTTCGCCAAATTTTGAAGCGTCGGCAAAAACAAATGTCTCTGGACATCATTCTAGTAAAAAACAAATAATTAGCTATGTATGGTAATTATTTCGACTTTTTTTTTCTGCAAATCAAATTCGCATTCCAGGTGGGTCCGTTCCGCATTTGAAGAAAAGAAAAAGATGACTCACTCTCCTTAACAATATGTATATAAGTTTCTTTGAATAAAAGTTATACATAGCATTTTGTGAGTATTTGTTTCGACATGGAACGCATTATTGTATTTTACATTAATTTATATGAGAAAAATTGTTGCGCATAACGAGTGTTTCGCTTAACGAGTGTGATTCTGGAACGAATTAAGCTCGTTAAGCGAGGTTCCACTGTATATATATATATATATATATATATATATATATATATATATATATATATATATATATATATAGCTGGCTACACGAAAAGCAGCTGCTGTGAGACTCTTTCAGGCCATAAACCGAGGGTTTCTTAGCAAAAGAGAAATTGGCAAGAGGACGAAAATGGCTGTTTACCGCTCTAAAATCCATGTACAGGTCAGTCCTGTCCTATGGGTGTGAGTCATGGGCAATGGACGCAACAAGCTCACAGAGGCCAGCTGCAGGCCTCGGAAATGAGATACCAGAGAAAGGTAGTCCAAGTGACAAGAAGGGACAAAGTCCGCAATCAGACAATACGTCAGGATCTTGATACCAGCCCTTACTAACCCAGAGTAGATCAGTCACAGTTACGATGGTTTGGACATGTATGCAGAATGGGAGAAAATCGGCCACCATGGCAAGCAATGGGAGGCTAAGAACATCAGGGAACCAGGACCTCCGGGACGAACCCAGGGTGCGCTGGGAAGACAACATCCGACAGTCCCTAACTGACAGAGGGGCTGGAATGGAACAAAGCTAAAAAGAAAACTGCTGATAGAGACGTACTGGCGATCTCTCTGGCAAACCTCTACACCCCAAGGTAGAAGAGGAGCGACTAAGTAAGTAAGTATGTATATATATATATATATAATATATATATATATATATATATATATATATATCTATATATATATAAATATAAATATATATATATATATATATATATATATATATATATATATATATATATATAATATATATATATATATATACGTCTGTGCGTATGTGTGTGTGTGTAACATAATTTCTGTACATTGCGGGGTCGAGCTTAACCTCCCCCCTCCCCCCCACCAATTCATCTTGGGGAGGTGGCAGGTCAAACTCTGGCGCCAGTGCATCCTGGCAAGACAGGCGTGCAATCCTTTGGTCACAAATGCTTTAAATTACATTTTTTACAGATTACTTCTTCAAGATGGCGGTCTCAACGGGCATATCCGAAGAGCTAACTTGCTCCATCTGTCTGGACACGTTCAACACCCCCATCCTCCTGCCGTGCGCCCACACTTTCTGCAAACAGTGCCTCATCAACGTTCAAGAACGAAGCCGCATTCGCCGACAACAAAGCACCCAGGGTGACGGTGGCAGCGCTATCAGAGACGACTCCAGCTTAGATCGTGCCCTGGTGTGCCCGCATTGTCGCATTGAGGTCAAACTTGGACCAGACGGAATTGGTGGTCTTCCCAGAAACACGTCGTTGGCAAACATAATCTTGAGCCTGGAAGAAGAAAAACGCGCCAAGAATATAGTTTGTGAAGTCTGCGATACTGAACCGGCAAGAGCGGCTTCAAAGAATTGCGCCGATTGTTCCGTAGTCTACTGCCTGCCATGCTTCAGGCAGCTCCATCCAATGAGAGGAGCGTTTAAGTACCACGTGATCAAAGAAGTAAATGCTCCAATCGTCAGGTGTTTGTCTCCGACACCACGTGACATGAGGTTAGGGAGACTAACTCCCTCTCGTGACGGCTATGGGACGGATGGAACCGAGTCTGGGGATGAGGGCGGGAACTTCAACAACCAGGTGAGAATAACATTCTTCTTTCTTTGAGTACACCAGCTGTAAACTCCGGCAGAAAGTTCTGATTGTTCGTCTACTTCTAGACTTTAGTCTTGTTCCTGAAACTGAGTTTTGTATGACATCCGTTTTACAGATCTGGCTTATTTGTATGCAGACTGTTGGTTCATTGCCTCTCAAGCAGAGGCAGTCCAACTTCGAAGGAAGCTCCTAATTAGTCGACTTTTACGACTTGCTTGTTATGGAGGTAGTGGGCCTGTTCTTGTTTTCCAAGAAATGTCATTGAAATACAACTGCTGTTAAATCTGTATAAAGTACACTTGTATAAACTCTTCAGGGCTCCCACAAATGTTAACACTTGCCATCGCCGTTATCACTCGAACTCTTTCTGTCTTAATGCTGCACTTTAAAGTTTTCCGAGTCTCCAAAAACTTGTAAAAACTTGTTTGCAAGCTGCTGAGATGTGGTTTTATAGACGAATGATGAGAATACCCTGGACAGATAAATAAAAAAGTAATGAAGGTGTCTTGAAAGAAACTGACTCACAAAGAGAACTGATTGTCCACATCAAAAAGAGACAATCTACATTCTTTGGTCATGTGATGAGAAGGAGAAAACTGGAGTACATCGCGACAGTAGGAAAGTTGGAGGGGAGGAGAGGCAGAGGGAGACCGAGAGAACAGATGCTGCACAGTTTGACTTCATGGCATGGGAGATCATCTGTGTCAGAATTGATTGAAAGTACACGAGACAGAAGATTGTGGATAGACATGACTACCAACGCCACACAGCATAGGCTTTAAAAAGAAGAAGATATCACACAGTGGTTGCCCTAACGTAGACAAACTGTACGATGGTGTTAAACTAGAAACTACAGGTACTGGAGGAGTGAACTCACTGAGCTCAAATTTTTTGTATTATAATTAACTAAAAGCACGATTTGAAATGATCAGCTTGTTAATGTCTCTCGGCCTGTCTGTCGGTCTGCCTGCCTGTTTGTCTTCATGTCTGGCTGTTTACCTGCCTGTCTGTCTGTCTGTCTGCAAGTCTGGCTGTTTACCTGCCTGTCTGCATGTCTGGCTGTTTACATGCCTGTCTGTCTGTCTTCATGTCTGGCTGTTTATCTGTCTGTCTGTCTGTCTGTCTGTCTGTCTGTCTGTCTGTCTGTCTGTCTGTCTGTCTGTCTGTCTGTCTGTCTGTCTGTCTGTCTGTCTGTCTGTCTGTCTGTCTGTCTGTCTGTCTGTCTGTCTGTCTGTCTGTCTGTCTGTCTGTCTGTCTGTCTGTCTGTCTGTCTGTCTGTCTGTCTGTCTGTCTGTCTGTCTGTCTGTCTGTCTGTCTGTCTGTCTGATGTCTACTCATTCTCCCGGTAGCTAACCTCCATTCAGCTTCACATAATGTGCACACAAGCAACGAGGGGGGAGGTGGGGGGGGGGGGGGGGTTCCGCACTCACCGCTGGTACATTTTCTAGGGGTGGGGAGGGGAGAGGGCAACGCTCAATGCTGGATTTAAGCATAAGCTAACTAAGCTGCAGCCTGGGGCCTCACAATCTACAGGTGCCTCAAAAAATTTCAGTATTTTTTTGTTTTGGTTCACAAATGGGATTGTCTTTTAACAGGATCATTAACAGGATTATAAAGTACAGTGTATGGGATCTTGCAGGCGCATGCTTAATCGTTTATTTAACTAACAACAAAGCGCAATGTATTTTCGTCATCCATATATTAAAAACCGTATAAATATTTTTAACTTTTCTTAAATCAGCTGTGTAATTTAAAACAGTAGGGGCCTCAGGGCTTTATATAGATTGGAGCCTCGTCACGTCTAAACCCTGCCTTATACCCATGCTCATGATTTGTTTATATGTGTGTTGTGAAGGAGGGAGGGGGGTGGTGGGGCCTCAAGTTGCGTTAGCCTCCAAGTCCCGACACCCATATTCTCCAAGAAAGTCAATATAGTTGACCTAATAGTGACCCGGCTTCAGAGTTATCAGATTCAGTATGAACAGTAATTAATACTCAGATATTGTCAATTAATCATGCAGGTCGTAAGAGGCGATTAAGGAGGGTTGGTGTCAAACTGGCTTTCACTATTGAAAAACTAGCTGCAAAGTCCAGTTAATCGTAAACAAGAGGACATAGCCGTATCGAGAGTTGGTCAGTGGTCGATGTATCATCGGAAGATGGAAGGACAGAAGAAGAAGGAGATGGAAGGAGGAAAACGATGAGGAGGAGGAAGAAGAAGAAGAAGAAGAAGAAGAAGAATCTCACACATGCAAAAGCTGTAAATTAGTTTTGACGAAATGTTTTACTAAAAACTGTTCTTGTGTCTGCGTTTTGTTGTTTGCGATGTTAATGTTGTTTTGCCTTAGTTGGAGTAGATTTTGTAACTGAATGGATCTGTATATGTTGATCTAGAAGGACCAACTGGAAAAACTTCGGAGACAGATCAAGTCGAAGAGGAAAGAACTGAACAATGTAATGAAAACCGTGCAGGCTCTGCTGAAGACAACAGAGGTGAGTGGAACCACTCGTTTCATAGAGGTCGTAGATTTTTTCTAATATATATAGGTGACAGAAGCTGCAGAAACCTCTTGTATGCTTTTCTTCTTCTCCTTCTTCTCTTCCATCATTTACCTCAGCGAGGTGTTGGTGGAAGATGTAAGGATCGTTTGTGCTCCTTTTCCAATGCATTGTACAAGCTGGTGTTCATTTCTGTTAGGTTGCTCCCGATGTTGTCGCTCCATCTCTTGCGTGGTCTTCCACTTGCTCTGTTTTCATTATATTTCTTCAGCGTGGCTTGTGTGTGTTTGATGAGCAAAAACCTCTTGTGTGTTGAGGTAGCCAAAGAAGAATAGTGTTGGTGTTATCATTCGCCACACGCTGGGGGATATACTAAAGATAAGACACTCTGGAGTAAGAGGGAATGAACGAGCCGATTGGCTTGGTTGCAGGGCCATGGTAGGTACAGGAGAACCAATGGACCGGGCCAACATTTTCAGTGCTCTCAAGGAGGTAGGAGGAGAAGATGATTCAGGAGACGACGTTGAATCGGTAACACTTAAAAGACTACAAGAACTGCAGGTCAAAAGTGGTGTCGCCAAACACAAACACTATAAAGGTAGCCAAAGAAGAATAGTGTTGGTTTTATCAGTCGCCACACGCTGAAGGATATACTGAAGATGGGATCCGAGCGCTTATGGACTTATCCGATGTGCAGTAAGGATAATCTTTCGATTAACTAACTAACTCTTGTGTGATCTTGTTTCAAGATACTTTTTTAGTATAGTACGCTCCCGAAGTCCTGCCCAACTTAAAAAATCTATGATTATTCTGGTTTAAATTGTTAAAACCTGATAATAATCATTTCACTGTTAACATGTGTTTTAAATAGAAATAAACATCTTGTTTTCATTTGACCATATTTGTGGTATAGGAAAAAACAGACATAGATTTAAGGCAAACAATCAGCACGCTTACAGTAACTTGAGTAAACTGTGTAAGGAGAACATCAACACATCAAACTGAACGCGTTTCATAAGCGTTTTACACTCAGATGCTCATTTCCAGCATTAGTCTCCCATTAGTAGTGGATCTTTCTTTGTATGCAGGATAGCCTATAAAAAATTCGCACGCATCGCTGCACAGGTGAACTGATTTCCAAAAAATTTCCACACGTGTGTCAGTTACTAAATATTATATTTTTTTAGGGGTACAGAAATTATTAGTCAAACAAAGATAAAAGAAAACAGCAGCACCTTTGCAATTGTAAACTATACAGTCACAATGACATAGGAAATCTGAAGCCACACGCAAAAATTCGTGTTAATCCGTATAGTAGTTTTCTACGTTGCCGGGTCGGGCTAACGATACGTTAACGCAGCTGTTCTCAAACTGGGTGCCGAGCCACCCTGGAGTACCGTTAGCGTATGCCAGTGGTGCCACAGCAATAATCAAGAAAAATCGGCTAAAAACTGTGAAATTATTAAAGAAGGCATGTAGATACTTAAAAGTTAAAATTTAAGTTGTTTTCCCCACTGTCAAAAAAAGTTTATTTCTTGTTTGAGAACCGCTGCGTTATGCATCGTTAGCCCGACCCGGTGACGTCAGCAGCACTTCCCGTCAGCTGGAGCCGGTCGGGGTAAAAGTACGAGGGCATGCCTTTGAGAACGCCCTATACCGCTTCTGCTCCTTGTTCCCAGGAGGAGACGGAGGAAAGAATGCGAGAGATCAGATCCGTCTGTAACCAGATCAACGAGCTGGTCGGGGAGAAGGAGGCCTCGCTTCTGACCTTTCATCAGTCAACAGGTATGTGGCGCATTTGTAGCATTTCATGTTGTGTCGTGCTGGGAAATTGTAAAACGGTCCTGTTCACATTTCCCAGCCCATCTACACACTTTCTCAGGCTGATCTAGGTTAGAGGGGTGTCAGGTTGTACTTCTTTATTCGAAAAGAGTCTGTCGTGTGACCTAGGCTCAGTTTTAAATGTTCTGAGGTTGTTGAAAGCTGTGTCGTCATGTAGAACAGAACACGCCACGTCGGCACTGATGTAATTGGAGGCAAGACAACGTGACACCCCTCCGACGTAGAAGAGTCTGAGAAAGTGTGAATGAAAGGTCAGACAGTGTGTGGATGGGCTGGGAAACATGAACAGGTCCTTAAAATATAACACATGTTTCCTCCTGTGTGTCTGCTTGTACGTCCGGCTATGTAATACCATCACCACCACTACCACTACTACAACTACCACCTTCACCACCACTACTATTACCAACCCCACCACTACGACTACCACCATCACCAGATTTAGGCTACACAGTGTATCCATCTCTTTCTTGGTCTTCATCTTGCCTTTTTCCAGATGTTCTGCTACAAAAAGGCTGGTATGCAGTTTGGTCTGGCAGCATTATCACCACATCGCCGAAACCATTTAAGTCTTTGTCTGTCAAAATAATTCAGACACGGTCTTATTCCAACTTTCTCTCTAATGCTGGTATTCGTAACCCTTCCCCTTTTTGTGCTGTTGTGACCTTGCGGAGACAGCGCATTTCACATGTATTTATGGGGTCCTAATGGAGCAATGATGCGCAATACAAGACTCTTAATGTCTATTAGCCTCTCTCGCTCAAGCCTACCTCACCTTTACGTGGTGGACCCTGTTCTTCCCAGCAATCCAGTTGAATGTTGGGGTCTCAACTCCCAGCGGGAAACTGGATGGGACAACAAACGAGGTAAAGGCGAAAGACGAATGGATGAGCCTACTCTTCTCGTGTATATTCACAGTCTACCCTTGCAAAACAAGGTGCTGAAGTCGGAGGCAACCAGCCAAGAGGCACACCACAGCAATCAGGATGACACGCATACACGTCATGGAAATATGCCTAGGCGATCGAAAGAAGAAGAAGAAACATGTACTTATTTCTGTTCTTATTTTCAACATTCAAGATGCATTTTTTTTCTTTCTGGAAAGGAGAAATGTTGGTGGCCTGAAATCGTTTCAGTTTATTATTTTCGTATCACTTCACATGTGACATTTATGATGCGCACGTAGCTCCCTGATGCACTGCACACTTGCCAAGTATCTAGGAGGTACTCAGGAATGACACAGATCACAGTCACTTCTCCCACCCGACAGTAATAGATGACGCCAGACGCATGCTGACCATCAAAGTAGATTCACTATATTTCAACACCAGGACAATGAAAGGCATCATGAGACATGAATTTTCATACTGCCACCGTCATTCTCACTAACGATGAATACACATTCAGGACGCTCTAACCAACATTGGCTTACTCTCCAATGAAGCAGAACTGGTCTTGCAGTGGATACCAGCACACTGTGGTATTCAAGGAAATGAGAGAGCAGATGAGTTTGCAAAAGCTGGGAGTAATCTTCCACAACCTCATCCACCACACAGCTACAAGGAAACCAAAACAGCACTAAAGCAGCCTTTCAAGCGGGAGTGGAGAAAGCAGAATATAGATTACAGGCCAGAGAGTTACAGCATAAACAAACTCAACAGGAAAGAACAAGCATCAATTTTTAGACTTCGGCCTGGACACTGTGGTCTTCGAGCACACACGTGTACAAGATAGGCATAAAAGAATCTGCTGCCTGTGATTGTGGAGCAGAAAGACAGACCCCTGAGCACATACTGCAGTACTGCCCTTACCTCTCTCAGCAAAGATTGTGGATCTGGCCCAAGGGATCCACATTGCGAGAGAAGCTATGGGGGACCGGTGGCGACCTTAAACGCACAATCCTACTTTTGACCCAGACGGGACTCAATGTGTAGCATGTCTGATGTCGAACGCAGAAGAAGGACGCTCTAGAAGACTTCAACTGCCACTCTATGTCCCGAGGTTGCTACAGGCAAACATTGTCTGCTCGCGCAAATCCACTGCTCGTGATTACGTGACTGTCTCTCTGACACCTATCACTTGGATATAGTCACTAGAGAAATCATATCGGCCGATGCACAATATTTTCCGGAGATTATCCAGACCCACCGCCTGCGGCCTGACACATACCGTGAGATCCCCTAATCTCACCTCACGAACCTCCGTCACGTTGGACCGGGCTATCGCGGCAACTCTCGCAGATAACCTGGTCACTTAACTCCAGCGTAACACATAGCTGTGCAGGTCTATTCTGGCAACATCCAGACTAGAACATACCTTCCACTTCAACGTCGTAGAATCAACAACCTCTCTGACCTCTTGGAACAGTGTTGCCACTTTTCTTTGACAAAAAACATCCAAAACAGAGTTAAAAAATATTTAAAAACATCTACAGTTGCGTGGAAAACATCTAGAAAAAAATCCAAATGGAAAGCGTCACAAATTACGTAGCAATTGATATGACTTACCCTATAGAATCATGTCCTCATCTTTACTGAAGTCTGCCTTACAAGATCCACAGGATAAACTTAGCTTGGATGATGAAGTTGAAGCTTCAGATCCAAAATGACTCTGGTATGCTTTAGCTGTTCCAATTTCTCCTAATACCCAATCAGGGAGCTGATAAGTGGAACAGCTTTTTCCTACTCTATCAGGCCGAATTTTATTGTCAAGATAGCATTTAAGAGGTCAAATGTCATCCTGTTTCTTAGGTTAGATTTGATAAATTCACTCCAAATGAAAAACATATAGAAAAACATCTACCATCTAAACGTCAAAAACACCATCTAAATGCAAGAGAAAACATCTAAATCTGGATGTAAAACATCCAAAGTGGCAACACTGGATTCATCGGTCTCTGATCACTCTTTGTTCACTACCGCACCGCACCGAACCTTAGTTAAGTTCATTAATGAATTTCCCCACGGTTTTCCTCCATTCGTCCGGCTATACAGGGCATCGACTCTATGAGCCCAGCAAATGGGTGCTGTGGTTCAGTTTACATGTTAGACATGTTACTCAAATAAGTTTACATCTGAACTCCAAGGGACATGAATACACCGACTATGTTACCAATTAAATGACAATTTCATATATTGCACACAACAATTTATTTATCGTATCATGTTTAATTGCAAAGCAGTGTTCTCAAAAGTCAAATCAGCTTAGCTACGAACTTAATTACAATTTTACAGAATTACAATTACAGAAGTCCACTGTGCGTGGAGTCACCTTTATTTTTGTTCCGGGACACGCAGGCGTCGATGGAAATGAAAGAGCTGACAGGTTGGCTGGATCCGCTATCACTACCGACGGTCAGCCTGTGGATCATGCTGATATTATCAATGCCCTCAGAGAAATGTGAAGGATAGAGGACTTTGGTGGCAGTGAATCCACATCACTCGCCAGAATGGCAGACTTGGGAATTAAGATCGGCACAGCAAAAAACGAGACGCACACCAGACACGCCAGAAGACTTGTTAATCAACATAGAACTGGTACTATTAGCCATCGGACGTTGGGGTTCATACTGAGGGGAGGATCTGAGCACCTATGGACATGTCCGGAGTGCAATGAGGATAACCCAACTAACTAACTAATTAATTACAATTTTTTTTTTTGCAGAGACACGAGGCCGTCAAGCAATGTTTGACCTTGTCCAGCGAAGTCAAGGCCCAGACCTTGTCCCTTGACCTTCTGGAAGATCAGGTCAATGACATTGTCTCCGTGAAATCGGTGCATACCGGGACAGACGTCAGCAACGTGAGTAGTCGAGTCCATTTGGGGACACACCGTTTATGTACCTATGGTGTAGTAGTAGTAGTAGTAGTAGTAGTAGTAGTAGTAGTAGTAGTAGTAGTAGTAGTAGTAGTAGTAGTATATTATACCCCACTGTTAGTTGCTTATCCTTTACAGGACGTTTGCAGAACCAACCCCAACAGCCCCTGGCTGTTGTGTGGTTTTTCTAGGCAAATTTACGTCCAGTAGTTTGCCATTGCCTCTGGACGGTCGGCTTTCTTGATACCACTGTCGAAACCAACACAAGGCGCATGGCCCGCAGCTGGGAACGAACCCAGCATCCCGGCATTACGAAGCGTTAGCATCGACTTAGCCACAGAGCCGACATTTTACCCCACTAGGACATCATTTAAGCGATAAACACCCGCTGACACAATGTGCCACCACGCGGATGAGAATCACCCGTGGAGAGGTCCCGGAAACTGCGTTAAGCCATTAGGCCATATTTATGGCCGGGCTATATTGCGGTCCCTGGTAAGAGCCAGGGTAGGACTTTAAAAAAAAAAAAAAACGAAAAATTGAATCCCACAAGCAGACGACGGGTTTTGCACACGTGGTGAACAGCATCATGCCGGCCACCTTGACTTCCCAGGGCTCCAACTGGTACCCATTCAGGTCTGGATGGAGGTTGGAGCCAAGGTCATTACCATGTCAGTTCTGGACTCGACTGTTATGTCATTTCTGGACTCGACTGTGATGCCATTTCTGGACTCGACTGTTATGTCATTTCTGGACTCGACTGTTATGTCATTTCTGGACTCGACTGTTATGTCATTTCTGGACTCGACTGTTATGTCATTTCTGGACTCGACTGTTATGTCATTTCTGGTCTCGGCTGTGATGTCATTTCTGGACTCGACTGTTATGTCATTTCTGGACTCGACTGTTTTGTCATTTCTGGACTCGACTGTGATGTCAGTTCTGGACTCGACAGCGATGTCAGTTTTTGACTCGACTTAACTAACAAACCAACAAGAAGATCAAGTAAAACGACTTAACGACGTCTAACCTACCATCGACTCAGCCGACAAACATTGATCAATAGAAACAAATGTTTTGTGTGTATTTTGTGTAAATGTTTGCCTTTACATTTTCAGGATGTAGCAGCTTTACAAGAAAGGTGAGCATAGACTCAATTCATTATTCTATGTAAAGCAGCGGTTCTCAGCCTGTCGGTCACGACCCTTTTTTGGGGTCGAAAGTCCCTTTTACAGGGGTCACATAAGACCATTTAAAAACACATATTCATTGAAGTTACGATGGAAAACAATTGTTTGGCGGAACTGTATTAAAGGGTCGCCACAACACGACGGAACTGTATTAAAGGGTGGCCACAACATGAGGGAACTGTATTAAAGGATCGCCACAACACGACGGAACTGTATTAAAGGATCGCCACAAAATGAGGGAACTGTATTAAAGGGTCGCCACAACACGACGGAACTGTATTAAAGGGTCGCCACAACATGAGGGAACTGTATTAAAGGATCGCCACAACACGACGGAACTGTATTAAAGGATCGCCACAAAATGAGGGAACTGTATTAAAGGGTCGCCACAACACGACGGAACTGTATTAAAGGGTCGCCACAACATGAGGGAACTGTATTAAAGGATCGCCACAACACGACGGAACTGTATTAAAGGATCGCCACAAAATGAGGGAACTGTATTAAAGGGTCGCCACAACACGACGGAACTGTATTAAAGGGACGCCACAACATGAGGGAACTGTATTAAAGGATCGCCACAACATGAGGGAACTGTATTAAAGGGTCGTGGCATTAGGTAGGTTGAGAGCAACTGGTTTAGTGGGTCATATGTTAAAACCATTGTGTCTTGTGGACAGTCATTTGAAAGGGTGGGGAGGGGGAGGGGCGCCAGAAACCGTATAAACAAAAAAAACACAATGCAGCAATAAAACAGACAAGTAAATTTAAATGTTAAGAGTCAAACAAACTCCTGGTAGAGGTTCTGGTTGTCCGTCCACTCCTGGACTTTGGTCTGGTTTCAGAACGAGAGTTTTGCGTGCAAATCCGTTTTACAGATATGGTTTAATAGTATGCAAACAATGATAAATATTTAGAGTCAGTTTTCACTTGCGATGAAAGAATAGTTGGCTGAATCAAGATATGATGTGCACGAGTAAATCAGGCGATGGGACAATTAACACCACTTTTGACACATAACAAGATACGTTTGTCTACTATTTCTAAGTAAAGTAAAGGACCCTTCGCCACGCCTTCATTTGTACTGGGCATACAGGGCTAGACCTATATTTTATAGACCAATCGGCCCTTAGTGGATAATGTGGTCGCCATCACAGCAGCCACCTTTACTTCCCAGGAATGCACCCGGTACCCGCTCAAGACTGGGTCGACCTCGAAGCCTGTCATTTTTGAAAAAAAGTCCGGCTCCGTCAGGACTCGAACCCACAACCTTCTGAACCACAGGCAACCGTCTAACTGCTACACCATAGGAGTTTTGTCTACTAAGACAAAAATGAAAAAAAAAAAAAAAACCCCATGTTTGGGTATCTGTATGCAATCACACAGCTAAAGTGTGCAGAACCTTAGACACAGGGAATGCGTCTCTCCGAAAAGCTGGTGAAAAAACAAAAACAGGAAAAAACAGTGAAGAAATTAGAAGACTAAAGTCTTCGTTGAGTTTTGAACTTCACTGCAATCGGGTTTCCCCGTACTTTATCCCTTCATGTACCAGTCATCATCATCATAAACCACTTCTGCCGTTAAGAGTCGTGGGGAGGAATAATTTGCGTTCCAGTGCACGTTGGCTGCCACTGGCTATTGTCATGCCGTGAAGGCGTAAAGTGTCTTTAATGTTGTCGATCCATAATTTCCGCGGCCGTCCTCTTGCTCTTGTAGTTAGTCTTCTGAGATGTAGTGCTTGTGATGGTATTTGATCTTGCTGCATTCTAACGAGATGGCCAAACCACTTGATCTGCTGTTTCTCGATGAATCTATTACAAGGTGTCGTTCCCACAATTTGTCTGATAGTTTCATTATCCACTCGATCTCGTATGGTTAGGTGAAAAGACTAAAACCTGGCATATAGGTTAGTAAAGAGCAACAGATGAAATATTTTCGCCGGAAATTTATGTCTGTTTCTTTCTTATGTTCGCGATGTTGTCTTTTTAAAGAATGTGGGATGCTTTGCAAAAAACCCCACTGAGACCTCAAGTATGTGGTTTTAAAAAAATTGCTGAAAATCAAGGCTTTCTTTGGCAGCCAGTCGAAGAATTTACTGCATTTTTTTATGTAAAACCATATCTTTAAGATCTCTGTATGTTTTTCTTTTGTTGACTTTTGTCCAGGATTCAAGGCGACTGCCTTACAAGCAATACCACGAGACGGAAGGAGACCTGGCCAGGACAATACCAGACAGACATGGGCAGCAAAAAAATACAAACACTAAAAATTACCCAATAAATTATCAGCCAAATCGGGTACCACAGTTATAGCCAAAGCTTACAGGACACGGCATTGACCCCACCCGCCCCCCAAACTTGGAATGAAATTGCTTAATTTATCACCTTCTTCTTCTTCTTTATAACAACTATTGGTAACAGCTGTTTCAAAGAACAATACACACGCACACAAAAATAACACACACAGTTAGTAAATCTCAACATATGGAAGTCTCTTTTCGATTTGAGTTCAAATTCATCGTTTTTACCAATACAACGGCACAACTACGAAACTTAAATAAATACATTGTCTCTATGTTGATTATAACTACGAAACTTGTTGTGTGTGCACGTCTGCCTTTTTGTGTGCTTGTTTTAAATTAGTTAGACACCCCAAAGATTACAACTTCTCAATCTGGATGGCAGACCAACAGGCCAAATCCCATATATCTCTTTCACCCTCCAAAGAAGTTATAATTGGGGCACCCATAACGGCCACACTGGCGAGGTTTAACTGGCGGCTCTGTGTGGGAAAGGATTTTAGATGATGCTTCCCTTATTTGTGATGTTGTGTATTTTTGTCTGAAACATTGTTTATTCATGTCATTTGCTGATGAAAGCGTTCTAGCTGCAACGTTCAATTGTCATTTGTAATTGTAACAATGTGAAGCAAACTAGTCATACTTTTCTTGTGGTTTAACATCTTTTCTTGAGACTTAGATTTGTGTTTACTTTCAAGGTTGACAGCCATCCAGTCTCGTTCACTGACAATGAAAGCCAAATTAATACCCAGGCAGCCCAAACTGGCAGAAGTGGAATTTGCCAAATATGTTGCCTCTTTGGATTTCGCCAAGGATGTTAGTAAGTGGCTGTTAGTAATTGCTTTTTTTGCAGATACTTCTCTCTCTCTCTCTCTCTCTCTCTCTCTCTCTCTCTCTCTCTCTCTCTCTCTCTCTCGCACTCTCTCTCCTTTTTTTTCTCTCTCTCTCTCTCGCGCGCGCGCTCTCTCTCTCTCACACATATGTGTGTATGTGTATGACACACACAGATGTGCATGTATGTATATATATATATATATATATATATATATATATATATATATATATATATATATAAGAGAATACTCATGCATCACTCTCAAAGATATATAAGTTAGGCGCGCATCCTTTACAGGACGTTGCAGAACCAACTTCATCATTTTGTGGCTGTTATGGTTTTTCTGGGCAGATAAACGTCCAGTAGTTTGCCATTGATTTCTGGACAGTTAGCTTCTTGATACCACTGTCGAAACTAACGCAGGGAGCAAGGCCTGCAGCAGGGATCGAACCCGGCACCCTTGCATTACGAAGCACGTTTGCAACACCTAAGCCACTGATGCAAAGATATATATATATAAATTTCTTTAAACAAGCTTGGAGAACACAGAAATGACCTAATGAGTGGAAAGAGTCCTTAATAATACATGTCTTTAAGACTGAAGACAGGTAAAAGTATAGAACCCCTTTCCACGTCTTCGTGTGTAGTGGGCATATAGACTAACAGACACTCGGTGGGTATTTGTGGTTAACATTACTCGGCCGCCTTTACCTCCCAAGACTTTACCTTGATCTCATTTAAGGCTGGGTTAACCTGGAAGCGAATGTCATTTTTAACATAAAGTTCGGATTTGAACCCGAGACTCTCAGATCCGCAGACTAATGTCTAGCTGCTACACCCAGTGGCTTCCATTGAAGACACGTACGCCCGGCTCGCTAGAGTAGTTGGCTAAACCTGACTTCGCGACGACCGGGTGACGAACTCCTTGTGGTCCGGGTTCACGCCCGGGGGTAGGTAGAAAAGCCACATTTCTCCCAGATTTACTGTATCTATCATGGAATCAAGGCAGAAGGGTTGCGATATCCATAATACCGAGCCAAAGGGTTGAGAACTCATGGTTTCTAGATATAACAAAAAAAAAAAAAAAAAGACACCTACGCATGTGAAAGGTATAGACGAATATCACTGGCATGTACACGTCATAAGATGGTACCAGGCAATACTGCTAAATAGACTAAAACCAATAGTGTAGGACATATAAGGTGACTACCAGGCGGTTTTCCGAGCGAAAAGATAAAAAAAATTGATCAGATATTCATCTAAAGACAAACAGCGGAGAAAACTTAGAAATATACAGGAAATGGACATACTTTATTTGTGAATTTTAAAAAGGAATAATATAATGTATAAAGGAATACTGTGTGTGCTATAGAGGGGCTTCGGTTACCCCAGCCCATGGCAATGGCGTGACTAGTAAGACCCATCTCTTCTTCGAGAAGCCTGGGCCATGTTGTAGAAACCATATGTTGCCCATACAGCAGGATCTCTAGCTCTGCCTGCCTTGTTTACTCCAAATGAAAGGTAACACCAACACATTTGGAACAAAGCATGCTATCGAACCTCTCCGATCAGAAGAGAAATGTTCTATCTGTCCGTTGCGGCTTCCCTTCTAGACCAGCTGCCAGCCACGAGTAAAGGCCGTTGACACTATGAAAAATATCAGGTTTGGCATGCGTAGCCAACAAGCAGTGTCAACCCATGTTTGATTCCACCAGGTCCATATGCGATGTTTGTGATGTTGACCCAGTTTGTCATCTCAATATGGGGCGCAATTTTTCCCTATTTGAAATCCCCACCCTGGCTATTGACGGGGGCCCTAATTTAACCTAACGGTTGAACGGGGTTTCTGGGACCTCTCCCTGTGTGATTTTCATCCGCACGGTGGCACTTTGTGTCACCGGGTGTTTATCGCTTGGTGGATTTGCTGGTGGGGTTGAATCTCACTCACTCATGACCCAATTATCTACAAGCGTGCATTTCCACAGATGTCAGGCTTCAGTTCTTGTCGTGCATACTTCTCTGGTTTCTAGGCTAGAAGAAGAACAAGAGAACCCCCTAAAACAGCTCATGTGGAGTTGGTTCTTAATATCGTGTTAGATTTTAAAGACTACGATTACCTCACTTCGAGAGCTGCAAGTCCTTTGGGGTTCAGCGAACTTAGCACAAGTGTATCGCTCTTAGGAGTTTAAATTTTAGTCTTTCTGAGGATTTGTGGAAAAGAGAGAAAGAGAGAGAGAGAGAGAGAGAGAGAGAGAGAGAGAGAGAGAGAGAGAGAGAGAGAGAGAGAGAGAGAGAGATGGAGGAAGACAAACTGAGAAGACTCTTGAAAGCCATTTTGTCACGGAATGGAATGATACCAGCGTAAGGACTGATAGATGCTGTGGGCGATCGTAATTTTTGGAGAGGCATGATCGCCCACGCCAGCCAGCAAGAAACTCGGTTGTGATAACAAACTAATTCTGGTGACACGGACACAGCTCAAGTGGCTGCACCAAATGACCTTTACTATAAATTACAGTATCATCGAGAGTGACTAGCGGGATTTAAAACTGTTATTTAATAGAAGTATTTAATGGACATGCACGTGTGGCATCTTAACTCTTTCTGTCCCAACAAACGTACAGTTTGTCATCAGCTATGATCAGTTAGTATCAAATAACGAACAGTGTGTTATTGTATGTGTTACATTTGGTTGCAGCATGCCAAAGAAATCTGGCAATACATGCTACCATACAGCAGAATATATGTTGTCTCTTTGATAGTAATACACGCGTGCTCTTTTTATTGTTTAAATTACCTCTTGGAAACAAAATCTTCTGGCACCGAAAAAGTTTAAATGTTTAGAAAACTGTAAGGTTTTAGACTTATTTAAGTACAATTCCACATGAGTGCCATTTATGGCTCTGGTGATGTCTCCTACCATGTCTTCTGCATCAGGGCCAGAGTTACAGTAGCAATTGCCGTAAGGATCCTCTCTTTATAGTGCTGGAGGTTCCTAATCTTTTCATTGCTGTTTTAAGCCTAGGGGTCACACAAGATCCCACGAAACTCCGCTTTTCTGACTACTTTAAGACGTCACACGCGCATATCCATTAAATATTTGTTTGTAATAACAGTTTAGAAACACTTTTCTTTGGCCACATAATAAGAAGAGAGACATTGGAGAAAACCGTGGCAACTGGAAAGACCAGTGGAAAAAGAGGTAGAGGCAGACCAAGAGAGATTATGCTGATGGGTTGAAACGATGGCGCGGAGGGATATCATCAAGAGAGCTGTTCCAGGCAACCAGGAATCGTCATCTTTGGAGACGCATGAGCGCCTACGCCAGTTGACAGGGCGAATGATTATGATGATAATGAATAACAGTTTAAAATCCGGCAATAATTCTTGCTGATCCTATATTCACAACTGCAACCTTTAACAATACACAGAACTGCTGAGTCCAGTTTTCACAGAAGTTCTCCACAGACCGGTCAGCATGGGTCCAGCTCTAGTAGACATCCAATGGAGAACCTTGGACAACGCGGCAAATCTCCAGTAAGTTTGGCCACATGAAGGCAGAAAATACGTAGCTACACTTGTCTTGTTTGTGTTTTTGTTTGTATTTTCTTTTATTATTGCATCCTTTTAAAAATGGGATTAACGGTGAGTGTCTCAGGTATCAAACCGATTCAGTTTTCAAAACCGGCTGACCGCCTGCCTTGAGTATTTCCACAAAGCACGAACCTCATAGCTACTACGTTGACACCTTGAAATTTCTGGAAGGGCTAACAAACCAGACGATGCAGTCCTAGCATAAACCGCCTGCTTTCAGACTGTGACGCACGTGGCTTAACCACTAAACCACAGATGCAATATTCATTCCAGTGTGTTGACTATAATGATCGATTCGGGCCTCTGTATTATTCACCCAAGGCCCAAAAGGCTTTGAAAACTCACAGCTTATCATGCATGCATTCACCCAATACTGACGCAGAATCAGCTAGTTTATCTGCCTGTTAATTTTCCAACACTCCTGCATTGCCCGGTAAAAATATGCCCCCCCCCCCCAAAAAAAAAACCCACCAATTACCTGGCATTTCTTCTTCTTCTTCTTCGCGTTCACCAGCTGTAAACTCTGGCGGAAGGTTCTGGTTGCTCGTCCACTACTGAACTGCAGTCCTGCTCCAGAACCTGAGTGTTGCGTGTGCATCAGTTTTACAGATCTCATTCTCTTGAATACAGACTGTTGGTTCCTTGCCTCTCCGGCAGATGCACTCCGACTTCAAAGGAAGCACCCCAATTAGTCGACTCTTACGACATGCTTTTGGGGAAGCAGTGGGTCTATTCTTGTTTTCCCCACAATGGGACCCCGGAACCCACACGGGGGCCTGGCATTTCTGAAGCGATGCTTTTCAATCTGCACCGAGCATGTAAACATTCCAGTGCAACAGGGAAGCCAATAACACGCTACTAATCCGAAGCAGTTGGACACATAGTAAATAGAAAAAAAAAATATTTGGAGCGATGGAGATATGGTTTTACTTTCTTTGGTCGTGTCACCGGAAGGTTAAAAGTACATCGAGATGGTGGGAAAGTTAGGTGGGTAAAGTGGCAGAGGGAGACTAAAAGAGAAGATGCTGGACAGTTGGACATCGTGGCATGGAACATAATCTGTGTCAGAACCAATTTAAATAAAGTACACGAGACAGAAGATTGTGGATAGACATAACTACCAACGCCACACGGCATGGACTTTAAGGAGAAGAAGAAGAAGAAGAAGAAGAAGAAGAAGAAGAAGAAGAAGAAGAAGAAGAAGAAGACACGAGACAAAAGGTCGTGGATAGATATGACTACCAACGCCACACGGAATGAACTTAAGAAGAAGAGGCGAATGTACTGGTAGGAGTAATGTAATAAACAATATCCTTTTTGAATTGTATCTGAGCGTTCTAGTCTTCAGATGCTCTCCGATTACAAAGGAAGCTTCCTAATGAGTCGCCTCCTACATACTTGTAGGGTGGTGGGGGTTGCAGTGGTTCTACTATTTGTTCTCTAAAATGGAGCCCGGAACCAACAAGGGAAATTATGTGTCATTTAAAAGCTTTCTTTAGTGAATTTAACTGTGTGTCTTTCATCATCATCATTATCCCGTAACACTACATGTCATTGAGTCACCAGTTTCTGTTGACTGTCTGATCAGCTCCCTCTACCTTTAGCGGTCAGTTGCGATGGACTTCATGGTTGCATGCCTGAGGCCTGTCCAGCCAGTCAGGTTCTGTAACCAGGTCTTTCTTGTTCTGCCTCTTCTCCTCTTTCCCTCTACTGAGCCCTACAGTATTGTTTTTGAGAGGCCGTTAGATCTTATTACATGTCCATACCATTGCATTTCCCCTCTTTCCACTGTAGTTAAAAGAGGTTCATATTTGCAAATTTATACTTTCTAGATTATCAGCAAAAATCAAAGACACCAGGGGAGTAGAAATTACCACAAAGGTCGAACTGGAAGGCAGCGCTGTTTCTTACCTGATGGCCTTGCCGTGGTCTGACGCCGAGTACACCATCATGCTGGAGGCCACGACCGAGACCGGCTCCAAGTATCCCCCGATATGCCGATGCATTAGGACTCTACCATACGTACACTGTAAGTAAACTGATTTGCCAGATTTGATTTAAAAAAAAAAAACTTTGGGCACTTTCAACCCGCAACCGGGGGCTTGGCTATATTTGCGTCTTTGGTTTCTTGTGGTTTTGGAGTCGTTATTTTCTTGTGACGTAGGATCACGTCTGGTTGAGACTTTTTGTGTGTTTCTGTTATAACTGCTGCATTGGGGTTTTTTTTGTTTTCTAATAGTCCTGATAAGAACTCTTAGATTTTGCCTGGGTCGGCCTGGAGTGGGTGTGGGTGGAAGCATGTTTGATGGTGAGAAAACATGCCTGGTTGGCCTGGCATTGTGTCTTCCATGTCACTGTTGTTTCCTGTGGTTTTTTCGCTGGTAGTTCTGCGCACAGTCGATGATTGCACCAGGGCTGCCGCCTCTAAGTAAACATCAGATCTCTACTATATGTGTGTCAGTCAGTAGCCGGTCCTTTGCAGAACCTTGCTCCCTTAACAACCTTCCGGAGATCATCCGCCACATCCTGCACCTATCTTCTCTTTGGCCTTCCTCTTCCTCTCTTCCCAGGCATATACACCTCCATTATTGTTCTCTCTAAACTTTCGTGACGTTTGAGCTGACCAAAATATTTCAATTTTCTGTGTTTTATCGTCTTTAATAGCCAACCTTCTTCAATATTCAGTTTTTGAAGTATGCCCTAAACGCATGAAGAAGTGGCAAAGTATTCTTCACCTTATTTACTTACTGTAAGCTAGAGGCGTCCGTGACTCGTAATTTTAACGTACCACCATCGAATCCAACTGCTGTCTGAGTGGATTGCTATCATGGTATGGGGCGTTCCAGGTCGACCCAGCCTAAAATGGATACCAGGATGTATGTCCTGGGGTAGTAAAGACCCCATTACCTAACTAGTGCCGATTGGTATGTAAAAATACGGGTGCTCTTCCCATGTGCCTGATGCGCCTAAAAGGCGTGAAAGCGGATCTTTACTTTAGTTTTTACTGTTAAGTTAACATCAGAACTCTACCACAGGTGCACTGTAAGTCTGTAAGTTAATACTGGAATTATACCATATGTGCACTGTAAGCTAACACTAGAATTCTATGAATGTGCACCATAAGTTGATTCTATAATTCTACTGCATGTGCACACCACTAGAATTCTAGTATACGTGCACTAGAAACGAACACTAACATTTTACCATATGCACATTGTAAGTTAACACTAGAATTCTACTGCATGTGCACAACACCAGAATTAAACTATATGTGCACTTCAAGTTAACACTAGAATTATACACCACGTGCACTTTAACACTAGAATTCTATCATTATGTGCACTGTAATTTGCCACTAAAATTTACTACACAGTAAGTTATAAACATAACTCTACCAGACGTGCAATGTACGCTAACACTGGAATTCAATGTGCACTGTAATGTAACATTAGAACATGCATATAGCGCGACCAGTCACCGAACTCGGCTTCTTCCTCTCATGACCCCCCCTCCCCCCGACCAAGGAATAGGTGCTTGTACTCGCCACAAGCCTAGCCCTATATGCCCAATGCGCATAAAGGCGTGGAACAGTGTTCTTTACCTACTGTTCATAACATTGTCGGCCTCTGTGGCTTAGGCGTTGCGAACGCGCTTCATAATACCGGGGTGCCGGGGTCGATCCCAGCTGTGGGCCCTGCGTTGGTTTCGACAGTGCTAAGAAGCCGACTGTGCAGAAGCAATGGCAAAGTACTGGACGTAAACGTACCTAGAAAAACACCATCACAGCCAAAAAAAATGCTGGGGTTGGTTCTGCAACGTCCGGTAAAGGATACGCAACTAACTTAACTCGCCACAAAATGTCTAAAAAATGTGCCGGTTCTAACCACAAAGTGCCTATTACACTAGCACAAAAATCGTTGCCTAAACAAGTGTGCAAGAGCGGCTTATCATTGAGTACTGCCTGAAAAAAAAAAGCTACTTACGCTTATTCTGTTGCTTCTTCTTCTTCTTCTTCTTCTTCTTCTTCTTCTTCTTCTTCTTCTTCTTCTCCTTCTTCTTCTTCTGCTTCTGCTTCTGCTGCTTCTGCTGCTCTTCTTCTTCTTCTTTCTTCTTCTTCTTCTTCCTTCTTCTCTTCTTCTTCCTCTTCCTCTTCCTCTTCTTCTTCTTCTTCTTCTTCTTCTTCTTCTTCTTCTTCTTCTTCTTCTTCTTCTTCTTCTTCTTCTGCTTCTGCTTCTTCGTTCTTCTTTCTTTTCTTCTTTCTTCTTCTTCTTCTTCTTCCTCTTCCTCTTCCTCTTCCTCTTCTTCTCTTCTTCTTCTTCTTCTTCTTCTTCTTCTTCTCTTTCTTCTCTTCTTCTTCTTCTTCTTCTTCTTCTTCTCTCTTCTCTCTTCTTCTTCTCCTTCTTCTTCTTCTTCTTCTTCTTCTTCTTCTTCTTCTTTCTTCTTCTTCTTCTTCTTCTTCTTCTTCTTCTTCTTCTTCTTCTTCTTCTTCTTCTTCTACAATTTACCTCTCAGGCAGAGAAACGGAGGGAATCGTACTGCTAATCTCACACTTACTGCGGCTTCCATCTGTTGTCCGCACTGCTCAAGAACCTTCCTGGTTCATATTGGAGTAATCAGCCACCTCCGTACTCATAATCATTGATCATTGCTACTTTGGATGAAGGTGGTCTTCCTCACGTGATGGACCAACATTACTCAAGTTTATATTGATCATTTTGTAAAATTAAATAAATACAATATATATGTTTTATTCACTTTGAAATGATTTTATTTTCCTTTTCGCCCCGTCCGCAGTGAAATCACGTTACCGTACACCTACCTGTATTAGATGTCCGTTATCCATCTATCTGTCATCTGGACGATGACCGTTAATCTAGCGTTTACTGTGTATTATTTTTCAGGCTTCAGAGCCAAGTTCAGCCCATCTTCCTGCCATAAGAAGATTGCTGTATTATCAGCCAAGGACGAAGTTGTTCACAGAAAATGCAAACTGGCCAACCTACACAACGCTTGTGCGCTCACCACCAGCACACGGCGCCTGGAGAACCTCGAGGGCGCCATGGCAGACGAATGTGTCCCAGTCTTACCCTACGTGTATTGGGAATCAGTAATCCACTTCCAGATTTTCGGCAAGCTGGGCGTTTCTAAACTCATATGTGATGTTGGAATATGTAAACAGGGCTGCGAAGATGGATCCGCCATTCTCTGTGACAACGTCAAATCCTACTGTGCCTACCTCGCCAGGAGAAACAACAAAATTGCACTAGAATTCTGGAACGGTCCAAACAGGGATACTCTGCCTCGGAGTATCCCGGTCCTTGACTTAGACCAAGAGACTGAAAAAACCATCAAATTGGGATTTTATTTCGATGCCATGAAGCGGCTTTTTGCCATCGTAAGTCCTGGAAACAACACGGTTTTATCCCAGTTTCACGTGAAGTTCCCGAATGTTGTCCCAGTTTGTGGGTTGTACACCTTTGAACACGCTTTTGTGATGGTGAAGTTTACGGATGTCCAGAAACTTCCACTCGTGCTGAGTAAATTAATGAGGGGTGTACAGGCAAACCAAACGTAGATAACAACACGCCAATTTGGTATTCTTTACCGTCAACAAAAACATAGCCCTGCACAGGTATGCCGGCACAAAGAAAGCTGGGGGGAGGGGTGGGGGTAAGTTCAGTCCCTCCCCCCCATGCCCAATACTCTACTCACTCACTCCCGCGGTACACATTTATGGGGTAGTGGGGGTGGTTAATGGCTTTCTTCATCTTTTTTTACCACCTACCTCAGGGAGGTGTTCATTTCTGTTAGGTTGCTGCTGATGGTGTCACTCCATCAACTGTGCGGTCTTCCCCTTGCTCTGTGTTCATTATATTTCTTCAGCGTGGCTCTCTGTGGCAGTTGGTACCAGGGCATTCTCGTCAGGTGGCTAAACCATATCATTTGTTGTTCATTAATGAATTGTATGACTGGTTTCAGTCATAGTCTTCTTCTAATTTATTGGCTATCTATGTGCATAATCCGAGTTTAAGAGCACAAAAATTATAATACTCTGCGGAGTGGCAAAATATAAAACACTACATTTAAAATAATATTAAAATATATAAATAAATACTTTCTCAGTATTGGTCGATCCAGCTTCAAATGAGTACCAGGTGAAGTCTTGGGAAGTAAAGGCAGCCACTGTGATGCTGCCACATCACCCACTTGGTGCTGATTGATCTATAGAATATAGATCTAGCCCTATAAGCCCCGTACCCTAAAGGTGTGGAAAAAGGTCCTTTACTTACATTTATAGATTAAATGTATGTTTATTTGTTATGTAACACTGAATGTACCAATTTCATTCATATATATTAGAGTGTAACTGTAATTGTTCTCTTAATTAGAATTTATATTATGTTTATGTATAACATATTATTTCTTACAATTTATAATTCAGCTACAATATATTTCAGGTATTACTGATTTGTTATCTTTATTATACAATACTTAACGAATATGGAAAATGTTAGAACAGTGATTCCCAAACTGTGCACCGCGAAATAGGGGAGCCGCGAAATATTCGAAGATACAAAATTTTTTTAACCTCTTTCATACAAATAGTCAGACTTTTACTAAAGTTAGAGCGCCGTGGAAAAATTGTAATTGAAAAAAGGCGCCGCGGCTAAGAAAGGTTTGGGAATCACTGTGTTAGAACATTTAAATGTTCTATTCTGCAAG